AAGTCCTATAAAATAAAGACTGAGTGTCCCTTGGATTGGGCACTGAGTAGGCAGCTGTATCCCGAGGGAGTGATATTTCAGTGGGATACTGGAGGCAGAAGCTGGATAGCCTTGCCTGAAGAACTTGAATTTGCTTTTAGAAGGACTAAAGTTTATTGTGATCAGGGAAAGGTGGATAATCCCAAGGACCTAAATGGAGTTCAGGAATGAAGGGAAAAGGCTGGAAAGGTAGGTTGAGGCCACATTGTGAGGCTCTTGGGTGCCAGAGGTTAAGTTATTGGTAACGGTAAGATCCGGTTTTCTGCTCTCAGGCTGATGTTAACATGAAAAACTAGAGAGTTAAGACTAGAAGGGTGAAACGAGGTGGAGTTAAGGCTCATTAGAAGGCCAATGCCATTTTTTATGGTCTTGATGATTTTTAACAGCTACTTTAACAACAGAATGATGGAAATGTGTGGCATTGTCTCTCCCTTGGGATAACGTGGCCACTGAAAAAGGTCACAACTAATAGAAAAAATGAGTTTTATTGCTTAATTGTGGATTCAGTTTATTTGTGTTCTTCCATTTCCATTGCCAAGTGTTTTTTGAGTTGACTAGTTGACTATGCCAAGCTTCTCTACAAGGGTATGTGTTTAAAAAGAAATGCTCTGAAATTCTTTCCAACCCTGAAAATATTTAACATAAAAAAAGCCAAAATAGGGGAGCCAGTCCTGTGGCGCAGCGGTTAAGTTTGCATGTTCTGCTTCAGTGGCCCGGAGTTCGCCAGTTTGGATCTCGGTTGTGGACATGGCACCGCCTGTCAAGCCATGCTGCGGTAGGTGTCCCACGTATAAAGTAGAGGAAGATGGGCACAGATGTTAGCTCAGGGCCAGTCTTCCTCAGCAAAAAGAGGAGGATTAGTGGCAGATATTAGCTCAGGGCTAATCCCCCCACCCAAAAAAGAAAAAAAGCCAAAATACGGCCAGCCCTGGTGTCCTAGTGGTTAAGTTTGATGTGTTCTGCTTCCGTGTCCCAGGTTTGGTTCCTGGGTGCAGACCTACACTACTCGTCTGTCAGAGGCCATGCTGTTGTGGCAGCTCACATACAAAAAGCAGAAGATTGGCAACAAATGTTAGCTCAGGGTGAATCTTCCTCAGCACACATGCACACACACACACACACACACACACACACAAAAGCGAAAATACATACACAAGTAAAGTGTGGCCAGTCTAGGCTTGTTTTCGTATTATTTTACATGTAAAGAAGAATTTGGAGCTGTGTGTGGCGGTTTAGATCAGGGTTTCTCAAACTCGGCACAACTGACATTTTGAGCTGGTTGATTTGTAGTGTTTAATAGCATCTCTGACCTCTACCCATAAGATGCTTCTAGCACCCTTATCCCAGAGTTGTGACAACCACAAATGTCTCCTAACATTTCCAAAAGCCTCTTGGGTGGGGGATGGGGGATAGGTGAAATCACCCTAGATTGAGAACTACTGGTTTAAATATATTCTAGGGATTTTACGAAAAAATAATCCCTTCCCCTGGGCAGTACAGATGATTTTATTGAAGCATGTAGAATCTGAAAAGCTTTTTATCACCAGAAGAAAACTAATGAACGTTTATAAATTCCTGTGTTGAAAGTTTATTTAAAAATGTTTTTTTACAAAGGAAAAGCTACTTTCCTGGTTGCCTAACTGTTCAACCGTCTACCCCACTTCCCCATTCTTTCATTCAGTTCCTGGATCTGTTATCATTTAATTTACAGGGACAGTGTTGGCTTTTCTCCTGGACTGTTAAGTCCTCAACGTAAAGGATATTATGAATTAGAAATGCCCAAATAGTACAGCCAGTTTAGATCTGGACGTGAAAATGTGGATTTCACGCAGGACCTGGATTCTGATGTTAGTTTCACACCTAATGCCTTCTAACTCGGCACAAGTCGCTTTCATATTTCTGTGCAAATTTTCTCATCTGTAAAGTGGAGATAATTTCTATTCTCTCTAAGTTTGCTTCTCGTTCTAAACATCGAAGATGGAAATATTTTGACTGTTTCTTTGGGTGGTTCTCCCTCCCCGTCACACATCCCCCAAGACAGTGCAACCCAAAATGTGCTCTGCAGGGCACCAGTGATCCATAGACTATGAAGTTAGGCTGCAGTGAGATGAGTACAGAAACAGAGAGTAAGCAAAAATGTTTCTTACAATTCAACAGAGTAATTCTTTGAGTGTTGCATATCATAATAAAAAATTGGGCTTATATTTTGTCTTAATGTTTTAAATTTAATTTTGCTAATAATTCATGTTTATTATATTGTGTGAAAGTATCAGTCCACATTGGATTGGAAGAATAAAAACAAAACAAGCTGGCGTTTCACTAGACGTAGTTTGAGAAGCACTGCCTCAGTGTGGGGTGGAAGGTTTTCTTTGCCTCTCTTTCTACCCTGGCTAAGAAGAGATATTTAGTATATTCTTCCTCTGAGATTTCAATAAAAAGAAGGACAAGATATTGCCTATCTGCCCTATTAACAGCATAAAGTTGGTGGTCAATAAAATTTCTTATAAATAAATTTGCCTTACAGAAAATAAGAAGTAATTCTGGAGTGAATATGAGGTTCTCTTTGGTTGTATGTATATGGGTCTTCATCAAGTCTTGCATTAAGTGTTTTGCATTAAGATGACATGTTTATCTTAAAACATGAACCCAAAAAGAGCAGTGAAAATGGCCATTTTAGAACTATCTTCTCTCCAAGAATCCCTTACGTATGAAATCTATTAGAGTGCTCAGTATACGGAAGTCTCCATAACAGACTGATGCTGATGAGGTAGGTGAAGAAGGAAAATGTAGGGATTATACTCACTAAAGAGATTAACACAGATGTTTTTGAGTCTATTTTGTCATTCGGAGTCATCCAACATTTGGGAAAACACATTATATGGACTCAAGTGTAGCAGACTGACATGGCGACAAGGGCAGTTAGGCAAGGAAGTGCTTTGCAATTTGACCTTGGTCTTTATGTATTAAGCTATGGTGGTGGGGCCACACTTCCGACTGACAGTTATATGAATCAGAAGACACTGCTGGGTTCCCTGTACCATGGACCACTTGTTCCAATACCTTTTATCCCATATTGAGTGGAATAATCCAGAGGGGCCTGTCCTACTGCTGGGAACCCTTTGCCTGTGCCCTGGCATTGTTTAGGAACAGTCTCGGCCTGCAGTTCCTGCCTGGTCTGTATGGGTTTTGTAGTCCCCTTCTTCCTCCGAAGTAAAAAAGGCAAGCTCTTTGCCTGCCCTATTAGCCGCATAAAATCACCCTTTCTTTCAGGTTTTTTTTTAATCCAGAGGATGAAAATATATAACATATTTGGAAACTCCCCTAGCAGACTTGGCAGGCGTTTCATATTTACTTGGACTTAAGAGGAATTGGATTTGGTCCTCTGATTTCCCCGCCTCCACCTCTCGGAACAAGTTATTTATTATCCAAGTGAGTCTGTGTTAGTGGATCAGACATGCACATGGCACGTCTATTGTGAGTGCGTTTGTTCAGTAAGATTTATGCGAGCCCAAATTGTTCTATATTGGTTTTCATTGTTGAAAATTTACTGTATTCATTCTTGGTTTGGCATAAGTATTTGTAGTGGGCTAGAGGTTCCTGTGGTTGAACATTTTATCTTTGTAACACTTCATGCAAAGGAAATTAAAAAATATACAGTGAAAGCATTTCCCTAATATGTTTCTAATCAGCTGTGTACTTCAGTAATTCGATTTGTAGGAACTAGAGAAAAAAGTGTTACCAAGCTCTCTTCAATCATTCGTAATTCTCTGGGAATCAGATCATGGTTCCAAATTTGTGAAAATCTCTATTGAAATTTTCTTAAGTGCTTTATTATTCTGTTTATATACTTTTTTTTTTAATGATCACAGCAGTATCTAAAAGAACTCAGGGAAGGCGGTGGGTTTACCCTCTGTATCTTGGACAAGAAAAACTGACGCGAATCGAGGTTGACTGGCTTGCCAGAAGTCAATCATTGGTACAGAGAGCCCTTTTATTTCTGCATTATCCCATGTGTGTGTTCCTGCTTCTATGCTCTTTGGGCTAAGCAATTGGACTATAATTGGTAAATCCCTTTGCCTGGGGGGTTCATAATAATCTAATATGAGGTGACTAGAGGCGTAGCCAGGTGCATCGTCCCCAAAAGTACAACGCACAGGGTGGAGGGTGTTATTTGGACAAATTAAATCAAGATCTTTGCACCATTATTTCTTTGGCTCTTTCTACAGGGACTTACGCTAATTGGCTTGTTTCCTCTTTTGAGGATCTCCGGCCTTTGACTTCTGTTTTTGCTAATCAGTGAGCATGACTTTTGCGTTGGCTAATGAATTAATCTGTGATCATGCATATATCGATAGTTTCAGATTCCCTTAATCTAATTCACTATCTAAAAGTAAAATCAAAGCGAAATGTGAAAATCATAGCTCCCGGAGCTGGGAGGCAAGATTTGGACTGTTTCATCTGGTGAAGACAGTAACTTGTCAAGAGTCTTAGATGGGCATAGAATTTTGCAATCTTTTCCTATATTTTAATTTTCTGCTTTTATTTCCTACCATGTTTTAAATTTCCCTCTTGACCCTCAGCAATCTTATGTTCATTGAGTCTTAAGTAAAATCCCCTTTCCTAGTGATGTTTTTAGCTGTTGTCCTCCTCATACTTCACTAGGCATAAATAAAGTCACACGGTTATGCATTTTGGCCCAAAGAGTTAATCAATCCATGGTTTGCCATTTGAAAATATAGTCCATGAGGTTAATCTTCTCAGTAGTCAAAGAATTAATGTGAGTGAAAGCCAAGTAGGTATTTAGAAGGCTTAGTGGTGTTTTGGGGAAAATAGCCAAGGACCATGATGGTTCTTGGGATCGCTAATCCTGGCTTAGAAGACATAATTTCCTTTGCTCTAAAGATAAAGGAAACCTACATTCATTCTTGACCTTTCTTCCTGCTTCTGTGTTTCCTGTCTAGGTTGTACCTATGAAGGAAATACCTATAACAGCTCATTCAAATGGCAGAGTCCTGCAGAGCCCTGTGTCCTGCGTCAGTGCCAGGTAAAGTCCAACTATTTTACTCTCCATTGTAAAGGAATCTGTCAAGTCTTCCTCAGAAGTTCCTCTCAGACAACACAGAACAAAACCAAAAAAAAAAGAAAAAGGCAAAACAGAAGTGAGAAATAAATGAAAAACGAACTGTATCCTTGTACATATTTGTTGTGACATTCACCATAACAGGACAGGTACAGGATAGATATTGTATAGGATTTGCTTCCAGAAAAACACAGTGGAATTGTGCACCATTGTCAAATTGGGCCTGGAAAAACTCCGGGAAGATGCATATGTCCTTGGGGAAAATTCATGTCTTCCTGTGAGTCACCTTTGAGCCAAACAGAAATTCCTGTTAGCAGAAAGAGGTATTGTTAGAGGATATATGTTTTCCTTCTTTGATTTAGAAACAGTTTGAACTGATGCCAATCTGTAAACTGTATTAAATCAAAGCAATTAATATGCTGTAACCTCAATGATTTCAACCCAACGAATTCTAGAACTATCAGTTCAGCTCCTGAGGAGCCCGCCATGGCTGTGCTTGCTGGACTCTGAAACGATCACTGACTCCACGTGGTTCTAATCGTTACAGGTGTTAAACCCAGCAAGGTGAACCAAAAGGGAAATAAGGACTCTAAATGTTCAAACTCCTTCTCTTATGGCTACAGAAATACTCTGTGAAAAAAATAATGCTCATCTAAATTTGTCATCTAAATTATGTCATCTAAATTTGACGTAATTTAAGAATTCTTTTCTGTAGAGAAGAAGCTAATAAATCATTTTACCCCTAGCCCATTTCACTATCCAAGGATATGCTTTTGCATTTAAAGGAGAAAGAAAAGTGAGTATAATAATTTGTATTTCTCTCTGATCTTATCTCAAGTAGATTGATATTTAGTTTATTGAAATCGGAATTTTATTTGGTCACAGTCTTTTTACATGCCCACAATGGGCATATTCACTCATAAGATCTTCAGTTATTTATTCAGCTAAATATTCAGGTTTTTTCTGTAGCAAACCTAAATTATTTGTGAAAATAAGGAGTAGCTAGAAGAAATGTAAATAATAGATTAATAGAATGAATAAAGATCTGTTGAATTTTTACTCCAGGTTATAGATTCAATCAGCTCCACAGAACAAGGGGATGAGAGCCATGAGTTTTAATAGCATCAAAAGTCCACATTCATCCTAAAATTTGCACCACCCCACTCCCACCTGCTTCTTGACCAGCGAAAGTTCCATTCTTTGACAGGGCCACTCTGAAAGTCATGGTTACATTGTCTTTTTTTTTTTGAGGAAGATTAGCCCTGAGCTAACATCCACCACCAATCCTCCTCTTTTTGCTAAGGAAGACTGGCCCTGAGCTAACATCCATGCCCATCTTCCTCTATTTTATATGTAGGACGCCTGCCACAGCACGGCTTGATGAGTGATGTGTAGGTCCCCACCTGGGATCTGAACAGGGGAACCCCGGGCCACCCAAGCAGAATGTGAGAACTTGACTGCTGTGCCATGGGGCCCACCTCTATATTATCTTTTAATCAAGAAAGCTACATACCTTTTGGAGTGTCTATAACATTTTTATACAACAGTCAGAGGTCTTGAAGGTCCTCAGGTTGCATGGGCCAATAGTGAATTTTGCTACCTTTGGCTGAAGGCTTGTTTAAACTAAATGAAAACTGTTATCTGGGAGGGAATATTTTGTTGACTGAATAACACATTAAGCCATTATCAGTTGTTAAAACTGAAACTCCTATTGCCTATCATCCTAGCCACCAAACAGGGCTCAGAGAGAATGATGCAGGAATATCAAATTGTTATTGGAAGAGATTTTAAAGGCGAATAGCCCCGGGAGTCAGGAAATGCTGAACCGCAGAATAGAACACAGAAAGGGGACGATACCGGCCAAAGATGAACTTTGCCTTTTAACTTTCCTTCTTTTTAAAAACTTTGCCTAAGCCCCGCTAGATAGTTTAAAAATATCATTTCATTCACTAACCATAAAAACAAACCTCTGTTAAGGTATTTACAAAAAGCTGCTCCTCTGTTCCGGTGACACCTTCCACTCCTGCTTACTTTCTTCTTTCTTTAGGGGAGGAGACCTCATCTATGAATGCAGGAAATGACCATTTACTGGTACCTGCGGGGGAAGTTGTCATTTAAGGCCCTCCTCTGCGGAATGACACAATTGCAACCTCTCTCTCCAAGCCCTTCTCTTCTCAGGGCACAGAATCAGTAACAGAGCAGAGAGTGCAGTGTAGCGAGTAAAATATGGGCTCTGCCACTCACATCCCTTGTTATTTAACCTCTGGACCTCACTTTCATCCCCCATGAAACGAGGGTAGTACTATTTCACAGGGTGGTTGTAAGCAATAAGAGAAACTGTCATTAAAAACGCTTCTGGTGGGCTGGCCCGGTGGCACAGTGGTTAAGTGCCCACATTCTGCTTCTCGCTGGCCCGGGGTTCGCCGGTTTGGATCCCAGGTGCGGACATGGCACCTCTCGGCAAGCCATGCTGTGGTAGGCATCCCACATATAAAGTAGAGGAAGATGGGCACGGATGTTAGCTCAGGGCCAGTCTTCCTCAGCAAAAAGAGGAGGATTGGCAGCGGTTAGCTCAGGGCTAATCTTCCTCAAAAAAAAAAACCAAGCAATTCTGGTAAAGCCTGCATGTACTGGGTACAACTAGGTACCAGACAGATCACAGCTAGTCTAATGAACTGATTTATTTCCATTTAAGTTGAATTCCAGTTTATTTCTTACATCCTCCTACAGGAGTTCTGATGGTGAAAAATTTACCTTTATTTTCTACTTTTAGTTTCTTACTGAAAGAGGAAAATCGAAAGATCAGAGACAGGAAATTCATGCTGGGAACTAACCTCAATCCTCCATCTGGATTGCAGATACTAAAGGGAAATTGATCTTGAGCCATAGCTTTTGCATTGCTTTGGTTATATAACTAAAGCCTGGTTCCTTTTTTGACATCGTATATTGCCTGTATTTTGGCAGTTGTTTTTTTTCTTTCTTTCCCAAATACGATATAGACCACAACAAATTCCACTGGTAATGGAAGGCTTGGGCCTGATAGATATGAAGACATTTAGGCTATAACCTTCCTTGTTGGACTGAGATGATATGGTAGCACACAGATGAAGAAAATTATCTGGTTGTCAAATTGTTACATGTTTTTTAGCTTGTGCTACCTCTTGTCTCAAAACAAAATTAGACAAATAAAGACACACACAAATTTATTTGTAAAATGGGTAGAGAATATGGATAAAATTCTTCAAAGGCCAAGTCTGAAAGTTAATTTTAAAAACGTTTCAATTGACATCAAAATATTGAAGTCCCAAGATCAGTTTGCAAACGAGTCCCTTGATTTCCTTCTGAAGATTTAAAGTGTCTATTTTGACATATATAATATGGACTTTAAAATATTGTTATCTAACCTCTTCGTTTGATGCTAGAGAGCCAGGCTCTCTGTGAGGCAGAGTGAAATTCCCATGATTGCAAAGGTGGTCTAGTTATTTCTAGAAGGGAGATGAGGGCTTAGGTCTCCAGATGACAGTCTGAGCTATCATCCTTATACTCTGTGCCTCATAGTTAATGGCTGAAAATGTAATAACAATTATAGAAAATACAGTAAGTGTTGAAAACTTAAAATAATTGTGAATGAACAGCTAGACTCTGTTAGCTACTGACTGACAGCAAGAAGGTCTTAAATACTAGATTGAAAAGAAAGAAAGGGGGCTGTCCCCGTGGCTGAGTGGTTAAGTTCACATGCTCTTCTTGCAGCGGCCCAGGGTTTTGCCCCGGGTTTCCTGGGTTTGGATCCTGGGTGCGGACCTAGCACCGCTCTTCACGCCGTGCTGTGGCGGCGTTCCACATCGCACAACTAGAAGGACTTACAAATAGAATATACAACTATGTACTTGGAGCCTTTGGGGAGAAGAAGAAGAGGAGAAGAAGGGGAGGAGGGGGAGGAGGGAGAGAGGGGAGGGGGAGGGGGAGGGGGAGGAGGGGAGGGGAGGGAGGGGAGGAGGTGGAGGAGGGGAGGGGAGAGGGGGAGGAGGCAGAGAAGGGGAGGGGGAGGAGGGGGAGGAGGTGGAGGAGGGGGAGGGGGAGGGGCGGAGGGGCGGAGGGGAGGGGGAGGAGGGGGAGGAGGGGGAAGGGAGGGGAGGGGGAGGGGGAGGAGGAGGCAAGTCTTTAAAAAAAATAAAAGAAATTAGGGCCAAAGAGAAAGAGCGAGGACAGAGAAAAGAATGTGTGACGAGATTTGCACTCTGAGATGGTGAGGGGGGGAGGCCTGACCTCATTTTCGCCGTGTACCTCTGGACTTGACAGCCACCCCCACTTTGTGCTTTTGGGGTTTGGCCTCCTCTCCTACTCCCGGGTTACTTCCCCAAGGGGAATAGCTCCTCAGTGGGAATTCTGGACTGACCCTGCTTGTCGCCTTGTGTTTTTCAGGAAGGCGTTGTCACAGAGTCGGAGGTGCGATGTGTCGTTCATTGTAAGAGCCCTGCCAGACACCTGGGGACCTGCTGCCCGACCTGTCCAGGTAATGTTCTCAGGAAGGGGGAGGCTGTCAGTCTCCCTGGGACAGCACAGTACTGTTGAAACCTCTCTAAGTTCTCTCAAGAATGCATGATTCTCCCCGCTTTTGCCTGGAATTTTTCTCACTTTACGTCTGTGTACCTAATGGGTTTAGAGAGCAAACTCTTTTGCACAGAAATGTCCAGCTGGACTCTCTGGTGTGCCCAGGATGAAGGCCACATGCTGTAGGTCTTGGCATGTGGAGGCTCCAGGCTTGGAAGGCCTGCTTTCACTCCACAGGGCCACAGGTAATGCTTATTTTGGAAGGCAAGGCTGTGGCTTTCCCTTGCTTCCAGAAATGTCTTTTTACTGCTTCATATTGCAAGACCTTGGCCAGAGCTCGCCTTGGTGATGAGGTGACCAGATGTTTTCTGAAAATTGAGAGCTGTGTCCCTAAGTGAATTTAACTCAGGGTTTTGCTGTTCTCAGTTTTCGGTGTGGGGCAACATGTTGGACCCACTGTCTTTTTAGCGGGCCCCACTGCCTCACTGACAGCAAAGAGGTCTTTCCTTTCCGGTGGCTGGAGTGCTTCCTCTTACTTTTCTGAGCAGGATTACAAAGGCCTCCTGCATCTCTTCTTGCCCTGAGGTACAAGCTCAGCGATCTTGAGGTGAGAGATTTTTTCTGATCTCTTCAGCCTATGGCCCATACTCTTAGACAGATGTTCTGTGTTTTGGGTTTTACTTTGAGTGCTTTTCCCCACTGGAGGCGATACTTCCAACTACTTCTCTTCGCTTTTGAGGTTAATCTCTAAAGGGCCTTCTGTTCTGCGAACCTTCCTGGGAAATGGCTAAGGCACCACGGCCGGACGCTCTGCAGGGGTGGGCCCTCCTCTGTTCCCAGGCGCCTGCCATTGCCCTTCATACAGTCTGCAGTGTGCCCAGACCTGAGTCCTGTCCAGAGTCGAGTCTTTCCTCATCTTTGAATGACAATAAGGACAGTGGCTGTCCACTCCTTCTAATCTTCCTGAGTCCCCTGGACAGTCTGTATTGAGCCAAACTTTCTTTCACACTGGGATTTCTGTGAATCTTGTATTATTGGATGCACTTATGCAAAGGCCAAAAACTGGTTGAAAGTAGAGTAATTCTTTCCATAATCCAATTATTTTGTGTCTATCAAACAAAGTTTGCTGAAGTATTTTTTCCCTCTGAATGCATTAAATGCCTTGTATCATGTAACCATACTCTTAAACGCCTGAAGATTCTTTATAAGTTAGATCGGTAGTTCTCTAGGGTGCACATTAAAATCACCTGGGAAACTTTAAAAAATAAATACTGGTGCCCAGGCTGCATCCCAGACCAATGCCATCAGAATCTCTGAGGATGGGGCCCAGGCGTCCCAGATAATTCCTACTCACAGCCAAGCTTGAGATTGATAACAGACTAAATCTTATATGCCACATAGATTTAAAAATTATTGTAGCTCTTAAATATGAGTTCAGTTGTGTTGAGTAGACTGTTGCTTTATTGATGCAGAATCAACACAGCATATATAACATTCCTCCTCACTTAAGAGATGGTCCTATTTTGAGGCTGCCTTTGAAAGTGTGGGTATACAAATGGCAGAGTGAATTTATTCCAGCAATTGGAGTTATCATATTTGAGCAATTGCATCTTTCAGTTTGTTTTTGGTTGAGTTCCCAGGAAGGAAAGGCTGAGCTCCATGATCGCACATAAGGCAATGCTAAGTCCTCATGACCATCCAGTGAGGGACAAGGTACTGTCTGCAGTCCACACAGGAAGAAATTAGATCCAGTGAGAAAAAGTACTTGCCCGAGGCCCATGAGTGAGTAAGGGCCAAAGGTGAGGTCCTGGTCCCAAACCTCCTCTGCCTCGCCACACACCATGATAATTTCCGTTATGGGGCCAAGAATCAACTTTGCTCCCTCTCCTTAATTTCAGAGGCCAACGTTTGGAATGCAAATCAGGAGACTCAGAAGAGGCCACATCCAGAATGGATTATCCTTTGTCTTGGGAGGGAGTCCTTAGCCAAGTCTAGATAGGGACAGTCAAAGGAAATCTTGGGGTGTTCTCCTTCGGTCATTCAGAAGGACTGGCATCTGTCATTGATCATGGAATGGTATTCTGCATAATGACTAACATGTATGGTCTGTGGTCAGTTTCTCCCTAAAACAGATTTCAGGGCATTCTTGGTTGTCTGCTCCTTCCTTTTTGTCTGACTTTTCTCAAGGGTGGTGGCTTGTGATGGGAATAGTTTGCATAGAATTTTCATTTAAAAGTTCCTTGTTTAAGTTGTCAAATGTAGAGTGTTGTGGTTAATCTGTCTGACAATCTGTATGACAGAACCAGTGGTGCATAAATGTATGAAAGAATTAAAGACCCTTTGTTGGAAGTGTCCTTTGAAAAGAGACAACTGGGCACCTGCCAGTACTAACACTGCTGAGATACAGCCACTGGGAGAGACCCAAGCTTCCAAAACTTCCCACATCAATAGGAACAGCAAGGAGGTGGTTGATTGCTAGCTCTGGGTGTGGGTATCAGAAAGACTTTAAATCCACAGTTTCACTTGGCTATTCAAATTCAGACTCAGTAGCATTTGTCTGCATGTCTTTCAGCTGAACAGAGGGCTATGTGTCCAGCCTTAAAAAGAATAGGTCCAGTGGCCAGATCAGGTGGTTACGGGTAATACTTGTTTCCCCTTGTCAAAAACCAGCTGCTTCGAGTTTGGTGTGTTCTGTTGATGACTTCAGTTGGCTGGCATTGAACACTTCCTTACTCTCAGGGGTGTGACTCAGTCTTTCAGAAGAGTCCTCTTTGCTGAGTTTTGCCCTTTGATAGCACTGCTTCCAGCACTGTCTACTATACGGAAAGTGACCTCAGTTATTCTGGCAAAGCACCTTGTAAGGACAGCCTTGAGGAGAGTGGCTTTGCCATTAGCTGATGGTCCCGCCATGGCCTGGGTGACATGGGGTTACTGGCTAGCTCGTGCTTCAAGTCGTTTGTGAGATCTCTTACGAATACAGCAGTGTCCTGAGCATCTTTCTGAACAGGAGACACCTCTTGGGCTTTTGGTCCTATTTTTAGCCAAATTTCGCAGGAGCCACAGCCCTTTTAATGGCATACAGGGTGGGGCTGAAAACCCTGTGTGGCATCTTGTGCCCTGCCTCTGCCCCTTCTGGCCTTCGTGCCTGGCCCTCTGCATGGTGCTGCTGGTGAGTCAGAGCTCAGTTTGAATCCCACCTCTGCCACCTGCCAGCTGGGTGAGTTACTTCCTCTCTCTGAGTGACGTTTTCCTCATCTGTGGGAGCAGTGATGAGTTCCCACTTTGTAAGCTCACTGTGAAGATGGAGTGAGAACGGGGTATGAAGGGCCTGGTAGAGGTGGGGCAATTTTTGGATACTCACCGGTGGCAGCAATTCGTATCATTTGCTGTTTAGCTCATCATTGCCTTTTCTCGTTTGGCCTTCTCTTTGCTTCTTCTGTTCCTTCTGGGGCATGGTTCCCCTGGCTGTGGTCAGGGTGATCATGGTGAGCTCCTCAGACTCTGCACTCCTCCCTCTTGGGCTGACCTGGCTTCTAACATGTTAGTCGCTTTCTAGTATCTTCAAGTTTCTGGGCCCATGCCAGTCTTTTGTACTCATTTTTTTTCTTTTTTTTACTTTGAAGTGATCTTGTCCTCTGTTTAAAGAGGACACTCTGCTGCTAGTGGAGGTGGAGGTGGGAGATGGATAGGCGGTGGTAGAAGGATAGTGTCAAGCTGAATGAAGGCTGCTGCCCTAATTCTAAACTCTTCTTTGCTTTCCAGGCTGTGTGTTTGAGGGTGTGCAGTACCGAGAAGGGGCGGAATTTCAGCCAGAAGGAAACAAATGTACCAAGTGTTCCTGTGTTGTAAGTACTGCCTTGGATGTTCCAAGGGCGTTCGTTCCTTCTGGTGAATTGCGACTGAGACTCACCAAGAGCAGCCCTGGCTCTCCTTACAGGCTCTCCTCCTCTCTCTCCTGATGTGGAACCTAGGGGAAAACTCATCCCTCTAAGGAAGGTTTCTCAACCTTGGCGCTGTTAACATTCTGGGCTGGGTAGTGCTGTGTAGTGGGGGCTGTCCCGTGCATTGTAGGTTGTTTAGCAGCATCCCTGGCCTCTACCCATTAGATTCCAGGTGCACTTACCCCCTCGGTTGTGACAACCAAAAATGTCTGCAGACATTGCTACATGTCCCATGGAGCATAAGATCACTCCTGATTGAAAACCGTTGGTCTAAAGATGGAGGGAGAGAGGCGGATTTTCCTCCACCTGCCTTCTTCCTTGGGAAGACATAGATTCTCTGTTCTTTGGGAGCAGAGAAGCATCTTGCTGAGGCAGCTGTTAAGTTCTTTAGTGCAGTGAAATGGGAAGCAGGTGGGGATAAGTGCGGCTTGCCCTCAGCGTATTCCGTTGGGTGAGAGAAACTGATCTGAGGGTTGATCAGTTACACTGGGGGGAATGGACAGGGGGAAATGGCCCCTAAACTGTGGATTCAGGGCAGATAAGAGATTAGAGAGACAAAGCCATAGACTTGCCTTTCTAAGCATTGTTAACTTGTAATTCATATACTAAGGATATCTTCAGAGTGCTTAGGAATAAAAAATGGAATTTTTGTGTGTGATAATTTTAAAGGGATCTTTTTTATTAATGTATTTTAAATTTGGACTAAAATCATTGGTGGTGATGGTGGTATTGGTGGTGATACGGAATGTAGTCTTAACCAGCTGCTCCAAGTTATTTACAGTGGGGAGTTAGTACAGCCATATATTTTTTAAACTTTTAATCTTTTGTAATCAAGAACATACAGTATGTATCTTGGAATATTAAAAAAAAAATATGTGGGGAACTCCAGCATCCTAATTTCACCAAAGCAGAATCATATGTGGATTCTCATAAATCATAGCACTTGTCATTTCTCTCCGTCTTTTCTAATCTCTTTCCCCCTTCCTACGGCACACACATGCACACACACCCTAGAGAGTCCAGATTAGAGTAATGGTGATGGCTTTTGTATGGGAGAGAAGGAGGAAAGGAAGAAAAGGTAGGAGAGCGAGAGGGAAGGAGAGAGAGGAGATACATATACATGTATCATATGTAATATGAGGTGTATAATACATATCATATTATAATAATACTATATAAAAACGCAAAAGCAATTTACCAGTGAACATGAACATGAATTTACATATTTAGACTCAACTTTCATGTTTTTCCTCTCTTGATAATTATGGTTAAATAGCTGTATGTTATTTTTTATGCAAATAATTTCTATTTGCCATTAAATACTGCCCGTTTCTCAATTTTATTTCTTCCATATTGGTAGCTGTAAAGTTTTCTGATTTTTTTTATTAGTATCATTCTTTTCAGTAGATTGAGGAAACAAGGCACATTTCACTAGGAAATTTTACATCTGCACCTGAGTGAACTGTCTTTCCCATAAAGGTGTGCCAAAGTTGGGCAGCTGAGCCTTCTTGCGGGGGGAGTTTAGAAGGCAGCAAGGAGGATCAAGGTTCCTGCAGTCTCGCCAATGACAGTCTTACAAAGCCACCCAATGTTGGGAACTGGAAATGAGTTTAGAGGCTGTATGTACAGGGGTCACATGCTCTAATGCACAGTAGGCATTCAGATTTCATGTGTTTTTATGCACAATACATGCTGAATGAAACTTACCTGAGGGCCAAGTTCAGGCCCCTGGAAGTCCTGCTTTCATTTTCCGTTGAAGAAATAAAAATCCAAGGATGTTGTTACTTGCCCAAACTTTCCTGCTCAATGAGTTCTCTCAAGACCTATATTCTATATCATCTTCTAAATCCCTGTATTCTAATTTCCAACATTCCTATGTTCCTAATCCTACTCTTTCTAGTTCTCCATGCTGCCGCCCTCACCACGCAAGGGACAGCTCATGGCTTTGTATGTTCCTGATGTCAGTGTTTAAGTTAATAGGATAAATAGAAGAGAGGATGGAGCTCCTGCTTGGGGCTAGGACCTTTGTGAGTAGGCTTGGATATGGGAAGGGTCATAAGAGCAGTTTTTCTTTACGCGAATACAAAAATTTGATGTAAGGGGTTTTTCTTGCAGCACATTATGAAAATAATCTGGCTTTTAATATTCTTTCATTTTGCTATCTTTTGATATAGTACACTAAAAAACGAAAAAGATAAGGTCGTGGCAGCAAGTGGCCTTGTTTTGAGAGTGGTGACTGCAGATGGTTGCTTTAGAGGGTAACACTGCAAACCGACGGCCTGGCCCTGGCACTGCAAGGCCTGCAGTTGGATGGGACTGCCCGGCAGCGGGCTTGGAGGCTTGGCCTGGAAGGTGCGGGAGGAGAGAGGCACCGTCTTGCTGAGTGAGAGGGCAAAGCTGGACAAGGGCTTTGGGCAGGACCAGGATGAGGCCACACGCTCTGCTGAGGAGGTTACAGGGAGGGGCTCTATAGGCTGCAGGGTCCTCTGTAAAAAAAGAAGACTGTTTAATCACCTGCTCTGCTTTGGTAAAAAGGAAAACAAGACTACATATAGAGAGAGAGAAACACACGTATGTGGTATTTGTGTGCATACACATTTGTATGCATGTATGTCTATACCTATGAGTGTATGTATCCACACACAGATAGACAAATCTGTATAAACATGCCTACAAATATAAACACACGCATTTACATGTCTAAGTTTGGATTCCCCCAGAAACAGACCCTGAGACAACTATTTGCATGTAAGTAGTTTATGTGGGAGACAGAGAAGACTCTGGCCGAGAGGGTGGAGATGAGACGAGCAGGGGGAGGCAGCCAGTTGAGGGTATGTCACCGAGGGAGTATCATTATGCCTGAACAGAGCTCACTCCTGCCAGACAAACTCTGGAATCTTAGGATTCATGCCGGAGAATTTCCCGCCCGAGGGGTGACAGAGAGAGAGATATTTACACCAACTCCCTTCTGCTCCCAGGGGTGGTGATTGGGAACCATTTTGAGCTTGCCGCTCAGGTGGCAGAGTGGTCTGTAGCAGCAAGAGGAAGAAACAGGTGCTGGCAGTTGAAAGGCTGGCGTGTGCCCTCAGGTGGTAAGAATGAGAGGATGTGGGTTAGCAGCAACAGTGTCAGCTACAACACATATGTGTATGTATATGGGTATGTATATATGCACACAAACATATACATGGATATTTTTATATCTGTGAGTATGTATGTATATACGTAGGTATACATACACGTATATATATGCATACACACATCTTTGGAGCACTGGACCACTAGCTTTTTCCTATAGCCATTACTCTTATGCTTCCAGTCCTTTGCTCATGCTGCTGCCCCTTTCAGAAATTCCTTTCTTTTCCTTCTTCACCTGGTGAGTGCTTGACCTTCAAAGTCAGTTATCACTACCCCACTGCAGTTCTCTGACCACTCTGCTCCCCCAGGCAGAAGCAGCAACTGTCTCCTCATTAGTCTCCCTGAGGCTCATGGTTCTCACTGGCTTGCTTACCTGCCATCTTTCCCTCCCTTCTTCCCTCACATGCACACAATGCAACACACACACAAACACACACACACACATCCAAGTTGCCCCGTTGTAGCACGGTTACTGGTTTATTTTCACGCTCTCTGTGTTAGACCATGTCCTCCATGAGGGAAGGAGCTATGTCTTCTCATGCTCATCTTTCTAACTTCAGTGCTCAGCACTGTGGGCACTCAGTGATGTTAGTATTCTTCTCCTTCTTTCATATCGTTGTCTTGTGATGCAGTACACTAAAACCCAGTAACATCTTCTCTTCCAAACTCTGACAATTCTGCCCTTTGAAGCCAGCCAGCCACTTCTTGCCTAGGAGAATAGCTATTGTTAGATAGATATCCCATTCTCCTTAGATTACTGTTTGCCTTGGAGCACAGGCTGTAGTCATGCATGTGTAAAGCATCCTTCGTGTATATTATCCATCTCTGGTGGATGAATTGCCAACTCTCTGAGGTGTCCCCCACTCTCGAGTAAATATCGTATATGCCATGTGGCTTGTATTTTACATCCAGCTCTCTTAGTTACACTCTCCCAATTTGTGAAAATCTGTCTACCCGTGTTTTTGTGATGTAGTGACAGAAGCAGACCACCAGAAAGATGCTTCATCTTATTGAGATGGATTCCTTAGATAATGAAACAAATGCCTTACACATGATTTTACATCCTTGACTTAGGTCGGGACAGTATATATGGCATTCCAGACAGTTGAGAACATGCTAAATGTTTGAAGATATCTGGAGAGGATTTCACAACCTCTCGCTCTTACCCATTCCAGAAGCAGAGTGTCTAACATTTTTAGTTATGAATATCATCGTGACTCATGCATAAAATGCAGTGTTTTACTATCACTTGTTAAACCCTATCATCTCCATTTATTCATTATAGGAATAAGAGAGCCAAGAGAATTACTTCTCCAGAGACCCAATACAAATCAGGGGGACAAAAACTTGAGTTCCGTTAGCTGTTGCATCGAGTTGTCTGAGTCACATTAGTGAGCATTCCTTATGGCAAGTGTTCAGTGTAAGTCCTATCTTCATTTTAAAATGGAAAGAAGATGATTCTTTCCTAAGACAGAAGCAAAGAATAGTTTATCAAGCATACCGAGCACTGGTTAAAGCACACATCTGCTTCTCTTTTGTTTAAGCTTGAGTTTTTATTACCTGCCTAACTGAAGAGCGCACAGTTCGATACGCCTTTGTTCCGTCAGATTTTCAGGGAGCAGGATGGTGGCAGTTGGCACAGAGATTTCTGTGAAACCCTATGTCTTCAGGCTTGTAAGACTAAAGACCAGGGTACCAATGAGAGATGTTGGTGTTATTTTCTACTAAACCATTTTAAGAATCCTATGGGCTCAGCGTTCTTGGAA